AAAAAATAGTCTTCAAATCCTTGGAATTTAGCCTACGCCAATGAAATTTTTCACGTGGGGTTGCACTCCCCCTAAGGGACAGGGTCTGCAGCTTGCGGGTACTCCTGGACCCCGGTCTAATTTGGGAAACCCAGGTGGACTCAGTGGCCAGGGGTGCCTTCCTTCATCTGCGGAAATTATACAGTGGTGCCCCGCATAGCGACGTTAATCCGTTCCGGATTAATCGTCGCTATGCAAAAACATCACTAAACGGATCAAAAAAACCCATAGGAACGCATTAAACTCGGTTTAATGCGTTCCTATGGGGCCCAAACTCACCGTTCAGCGAGGTTCCTCCATAGTGCCACCATTTTCGCGCCCTCGGTAAGCGAGGGCAGGGCATGAAAACACTTGCGGTGGCCATTGTGGGCACCCGGTGGCCATTTTGGAACCGCCGATCAGCTGTTTAAAAAACATCGCAATGCGAAGATCGGTAAGCGAAACGCTTACCGATCATCACAATGCGATGTTTTATCCATTAAAACATCGCAATGCGATTGCATTAGCGATCTAAAAAATTAGTTCACTATGCGGATTCATCGTTAAACGGTGCGTTCGTTAAGCGAGGCACCACTGTACCAGCTACAGCCCTAGCTGGACGATCGGTCTTGTGACAGTTATGCATACACGGGTAATATCCCATATAGATTACTGCAATTAACTGTAAGTCTTGTGACAGTTATGCATACACTGGTAACATCCCATATAGATTACTGCAATTAACTGTATGTGGGGCTGCCTGTGAAGACAATCTGGTGACAGCAAAAGGTTTAGAATCAAGCTGCATGGCAGGTGAGTGGTGGGACCACTAGGAAACACATCAGGCTGATTCCTTTGAGACTGATGCGGAAGCTCCAGATGGTCCAGAACACGGTGGCCAGGCTATTAACATGATTGTAAATATTTCATCATATTTACCTCACTCTGGCCACCTTACACCGGCTATCAGTCGCTGCCCGGGCCCAATTCAAAGGGCTTGTTTTGACGTATAAAGCCCTAAACGGCTTGGGCCCTGGATACCTGAAGGACCGCCTCCTTCCATATGAACCTACCCAGCAGTTAAGATCTAGCCAGGGGGCCCTCCTGAAAGAGCCATCCCTCAAGGAGGTAAGAGACAAAGGGCTTGTAGACAAAGGGCCTTTTTGGCAGCTGCCCCCAGACTATGGAACGCCATCCTGAGTGAGATTTGTCCGGCGTCGATGTAGATGACATTTCAGTGCCAGGTCAAAACCTTTCTCTTCCAGAAGATTTTTAATTGAAATAATATCAACTCTGGGTCCTGATGGCAATTTTTAGAGCATTGTATTTTTAATTGTATTTTTATTGTTTTATCTTTTTATTGTATTTAAATTGTTGTAAGCCACCGAGAGACCTTTGGGTAGTGTGGGTGGCATATAAGTTAGATAAATAAATAAAATAAACAAATTGACTGGCAGTAGGTTTAGGAAAAGCAAACAAGTCCTTCACACAGGGCATAACTTCCTTAAGATGGTGCTGACCTTAAGGGGGACTGAAGCAAATTCATGGGGAGATGGCTGTGTCAAGGCTATGAACCATGAGAGCTGAAATAAAGCTTCCTTTACAGAAAATTCATTTCTGTTGAAGACAAGAAGTCAGGGACATCTGCTGAGCTTGGGGGGTGGCAGGTGGGTTGTTGCCATCTGGCTTGTTTACTGATTTTCTCAAATTGTTTGATTTATCACAACTTAAAATAAAGATCATACAGTGTATCTAATCCCACCCTCTTCCAAATATAATTATTTGTTTGTTTGATTGATTTATACTTCAGTGTATTCATTCATTCATTCATTCATTCATTCATTCATTCATTCATTCATTCATTCCACCATTCTCCCTCCAGCGAGCTCAAGGGGATACGCATAACCTTCCTTGGCTGTGGTTTATCCACACAGCAGACCTGTAAGATTAGGTTAGGAGGAAAGTGTCACTGGTCCCAATGCATCCAGCTGGATCTCATGGCTCTGCAGAGATTACAGCTTTTTATTTTAAAAAAAACTAGGTTTTTTTTTAAAAAAACAGGCCTCTTTCCTATCTTTACTGAAAACATTAAAAAAAGGAAACTATTTTTGGGATAGGAAAATCTGGATGAAACCAAAACACAATACAGTAAACATGTTTTCATCCCTCTTGGGCTTGATGGATCTCATCTATTAAATGCCTGCTCATTCTCTTTTCTCTCTTGGAAGTGGAGGAGGATTTTCTGAGACCAGGACCAAGTGAAGAAGTCCTGTACCACTTCTGAACTGGGCTGGATTTCTTCCCCCCGTTGGGAGATAGGGTGTTATCATAGTCTCTCCCTTCTCATTTCAATAGCAGTGCAGCAGCATCACCTTTTAGTCGAGAATTTAGCAGATTGGAGAGATAAAATGCTTGAATTTGCCGCAATGGCAAAACTCACGAATCATGTAAATGGAAGGTCAGTTAGGGAATTCGAAAATAATGGGAAAACTGTTTTGATGATTATAAATAAGTGGAAAGGGTATAGAATCAACTTTGCAGAAAGTACTATGTAAAATGAGTAGAGTTCACATTCTAAAATGTTAACAAAGATGAAAATATGGCACTGTTTAGAATAATGTATAGTATAGATGTTAAAATTAGAAGGCTATATAAATTATGTAAATGGACTGTCAGTTGTCCTTGATATATGTGAAATGTATGAATTTTATTTGTAGTTTTCCTTTTGAACTTCTACATATTTCAAAATTTAAAAAAAATTAAAAAGAGAATGTAGCAGTCACTACTGGCTCCTGAAATGTATAAATAAATAAAAATGTGAAGTACACAAATTATTTGTAAAAATAATTAATTAGACTGATTTTCCAGAAGTCCGATGATTTTAAACAGTGCCATTTTAAACTAAAATGCTGGCTTCATCTGTGGTTTCACATACAGAGGGGGAATCCATATTGAATGAGAGTCAGCCAGTAAACATATTAAGTGACAGGAAATAATATTAGACATGACCTGCACCAATATCTTACCATGGCACTTGAATGCACAACCTTGTGGGCCCAATTTCTGTTCACATTTGCCCTAGTGATGGCATAATTTAATCTGACTCCAATTAAGCTATTTCATATTTACTGCAGCATAAGTGACAGTAGAAACAGACACTCATTTTCTTAGGAAGTCAGTGTCTTGAACACTTTTGTTCATTAAAGATCCCAGTGCACTCAGAGGTGGAGAATACGGGTGTTAAGTCATGTATCTTGGCCAAATTCCAGTTTAGGTAATTACTGCTAATCTGCTTGCCTAAATTCCCCATCCAGTTTTAATTGGATGTAGTCTTCTTCACTAGCTACTCAAACTGTCATGAAACATTTTAATACGTGATTAAGCAGTTTTTGTGAGATACCACAGAAATATTGCATATGCATGGAAGAAGTAAATCTTCCTTTTGACTATGTAGACTTGATATGATCATACATTCAGGCACTAACAGGGATAGTGAACGCATTCTAATCTCATCTATCCTTAGATTCCGTCATGTATCAAAATGAACAATATAATCCACATTATTATAGGTCATTAGTATAGGTCATAGGTGCTAGAACAGAGTTTCCTTCAGACAGAAAGTAGTTTAGGAATCAAAATGGGCAGTCTAGGTCCTACAAGTAAACTGCCACAAACTCAACAAATCCTTCCTTCTGAAAAGGATACAAAGTCAATTCATGTGACAGATTTCTTCCTGATTCTATTTCTATCCAAGAGAGAGAGAAATCCCAAAATCCCTGTTTGGGCATTAAGCCTGAAAAGGGTTTTCAGAGCTGTGTGATGGACACAGTGGCTCTGCCACTAAGTGTGCTGTCCCTACCTTCTAAATGTTCAGGGTTCCGGGGGGCGGGGGGCGGATATCTGCTTACAAATTATGGCGTGTATCAAGGAGACTTTTTAACCTCTTCAACCAAACTCAAGTAAAACCCCACTTAAGTTTTTCCTTGTCAGCTAGGTGGGGTTGTATCTATAACTCAGTACTGCAGGATCTGGAAAAGAACCACAGCCTTCTGAGTTACCTAGCTATGTATATGCTGTTGTCCAAAATCTCTCTTAAGGTACAGAAGGAAATCAGAGTATCCAGCATTGCTCCCCCATTTGGCAAATGGAGTTTCTTGATTGGCCAGACCCAGTCTAAGTGCTGTAGGATCTTAACTTGTTGTCTTGCCTAGCTCCAGATCTCATTACTTTTTATGAATGTGTCTGATCCAGCCTGACTTCAGCTGCAATATAATCTTCACCAGGCATACAACAGCAGCAAGACTTCCTTAGTTTAGAGATGGTATAAATAGAGCAGGCGATTTTCTTTTTTCTTATTCTGAAGAATATTTCTTTCTTAACCATTTAAAATGATAATACAGTACCTAAAAGTGTAGGAGCCAAAAATAGGACACTAATAGTTGGGTCAATCTTTTTTTATTTATCTCTGCCCTGCATCCCTGCTGGTGCTAAAAGCATAGTTTCTTCAACAGCCATGCTCCTCTCAGCCAGTTCCCCTGTGACTGTGCAGGCGCAGATGGGTCCACAGGTGTTAATGTCGCTTCTGGAAGCATTAACACCTGATCAGGTTTCTGCCTTGCATTCAGCACAGGGTGGAGTGCTCCTGGAAGCAGCTGCTCCCCCTGCTGCCAGACCCCCAATGAACAGCTTAAAAGAGGCAACATTTTTGTTTTTAATAAATATATTTTCACAAGCTTCTAAGCAGGCTGAAGGCCTGAGGACTGTCAAAATAGGCATTTAATTTTAGCAGCCTGTTAAACATGAATATGATTATTCCATCTTATGATGAATCAGTTCCTTGGTGAAAATTCGTAATCCTTTTCGAACTCCATATGTGAAATGATTAGAAGTGCCTTCTATTTTAAATTGTGCTGTAGCATATTTTGCTGACAAATTGCACTTGTACAGAAGCCTTTTAACAAACTTTTTGTTGTTACATCCAGGTAACAAGCATGGTAAGTATCTTTAGTAAAGCAAGCATTATGTACTTCAGCTATGCTTGGCAGATATTCTTTCTCTCTTTTTTTAAAACTAGCTTTAACTGTACTGTTAGCCTGTGCTGTTTCTAAAGGAGCTGTTCAAGTGAAGAAGTTACTCACCTTCTCATTACTATGTATGGGCTTTCTAGGGAATATGTGTGTGAATTTGTATACCATTTTGGGATGGCATGCATTCTTGGCCAGCATGCTTGCAACTTTGCTTGCAATAATGAATCTGCCTTTTAGCGCTTGTGTTCCTTTATTTATATTGTCTCATACAAAAGTTTAGCATTCCCTAAATAATTTTTTTCCAAGTTAATACAACCTATGATGTAAAATGTTATATGAACAGTGCACTTAAGTTTCATTAATTCCAGTAAAGTCAGTGCTGCTCCTGCTTTCAGTAGAGTAGAAAAATATCTGACAGCATATTATATGCCTAAACTGTATATTATTTTAAAGGTATGGCTGGCATATACACCTTTTAAAAAAGTTTAAATGAAAAGGGGGTCATCTGGATTGAGACTCCAGTGGGGGATGCAGAATGTTTTGATACCGCTGTGGTCACAATCCAGGCCCCTGTAGACTTGCAGTTTGTATTTTCAAATAGTTCTAAAATATAAAGGTCATTTAAGGGCAATAGGTCTTCTGAGTGTGAAACCATTCAGATCATGAATGAAGGTAGAAGGTAAAAGGTGAGAGCTTTTCTAATCCCCTTTCTGCCGGAGAGAGTGCCAAACCAGACCGAGTCCCCTCTGCTTATTTTACAACTGAAAAGGAAAAAAAATACATAATAGTTCTTTTGCAGTTTGTTCATGAATGTGTAATTGGCCTGCTTTTAGGCCCCTCATATGTTGTTGCAACTTTACTAGAATTATACTTGGTCCTGGTTTTGGTAGGTGCGACTGATGAAACTATATGGGTGGGTCTTACCAAATATATCTCTATGAGGTGAGCTCTACCCACATGGCTGCATTATGCCACATGATTCCGCCCCATTACCACCAGGTCTTCAACAATAGGTTCTGTGCAAATATGCAAGCTAATGTCAGATAGACATGTGCTGGGCATGCCATGGGGATGGGACAGGCTGATGCTGTTGCATCTCTGCAGTAGTCTAGCTCAGTGGTGCTTAACCTGGGGTTACTCAGGTGTTTTTGAACTGCAACTCCCAGAACCCCCAGCCAGCACAGCTGGTGATGAAGGCTTCTGGGAGTTGCAGTCCAAAAACACCTGAGTAACCCAAGGTTAAGAACCACTGGTCTAGCTCACATTTGCATTGGATCTAGTTCCCTGTTTTAAAGCATTTGCCCCCTGCCCTGAGACCAAGAGATAGGAAAAGAAAGAAACCTAAAACTTAGGTGCTATCACTTTATTCAAATTTCTATGAAGTCATTTGTTAGGGTTTGAAAATTTATGTGTCAGTGTCAAATCAGTGAAAATATTTACTTCACTCATTCAATGAGTATTATTCATGTGTTAAATTTTTAGTTCTAAACTAAAAAGTGGGATTTAAAGGGTTTCTGAATTATGTTCCCCAACCTGACAGTTCCTTCTAAACAGACCACAAATTTAATAATGCAGTTATTAGCTGAGGATGCTAGGATACAATGTCATGAAAGGAAGGTTGGGGTTGCCTGCCCTGCAACATGGGCTCTCGCCTACAGAAAAGAAACCCATGACCCGCCAGCAATATCGGCTTTATATAAACCCAGTAATTCTTTTACCACTTTTGTATAGATGTCTTTGGTAGAATGCTAGAAAAGCTGTTGTAGAAAGTGTTGTGAGTGGATCATAAGAGACAGCCCTGCTGCATGGCTGTTTGAGGTCACAACAACGAGTTTTCTGTCACATCCAACCATATTGATGGTCCCGTCACATAACCAAACACAACTGGCTTCCAGCCTCTCCCCTTCAGGGCATGGGTGGATACACATGTGTCCTCCTGAGAGGACATCCCAATATATAATGTTATTAAACAACTATTTATTTGTGGAATGTTGAGCCATTTGACCAACAAAATTATATATTTATATTAATGTGTTAAAATATATACATTATTTAAATCTTTATTTGATAGGAACAACAGAGAGAACTGGACTGAGACTGGGAACTAACTAGAACTTGCAAAAAATAATTTCTGGACTACAACTCCCAAGAATCCCCCACTAATACAGCAAATGGTCTCACTGTCAAAGGGATTCTGTGGTATTCAAAACAGTAATTTTGCAAGTTCTTGATGAGTTCCTTGGGTACCCTCAAGACCCAGATCTCTCTGCATTGTCTAAATTAGCCTTTCTTGCTTTAAGTCCTAGGAATGTGGCTAATTGCCCTAGCCTGGTAAGCATGGCAGAACTTTCTGCCTGTTGCAATTCAGGCTTCAGTTCCTTCTGATTAATCCCCCAACTCCAGCATTCAAGTGTAGGATCCTGATACTGAAAACATGTCCTCTAGGTCTAGGTTCAGAATAGAGTTGTACTTGCTTCCTTTCATTTTATCTTTCTCATCTGCCTCAGTCTACTTTCCACCAGTCAGCTGCTAAATTTGAATAATAAGATTTATGGAATAAAACGTTGTCCTAATCTAGGGACTTATTTGTTCCTGTGTCTCCTTCACAGATTAGGCTTTTACAGCAAGGCGCAGCCTAGCCATAGATTTCAGTGAAATATTTGACTACATAGTCACATCTGCCCCTCTACAGTCTGTAGGCTTTATGCATTCTTCTTTGGCTAGATTTTATTGTTTGCTTCAGTTTTTAACTATTTTAGTATGTGCTGACATCAGTACCTGAGCAGAAGATTGTAGAATATGAAAGATCATCTGCAGTACACTACACTGCTGCACATTTCCATTCTAACTCTAGGCTCTTGGAATGAAACACCTCTTTTAGCTGGCTGTTGGTTTCCTGGTCCTTCAAGAGGGCTGGATACAGAACCCAGGTGAATTCCAGACATGCATAAAAATTCCTGCCACATATGGGCTAAGATCCTCCAGTAAGTTGCAACTAGGGTAAGGGTACTGTCTCAGTGGAACTTACACATGTTGATACATGAAATCCCTACCAGTTAGATGGGCCTACTCTAGTTATGACTTGCTACTGGATTTTAGCCACCTCAATACATGGTCTCATATTCCTTTCTGGTTGGGTTTACTGAGTCTTCTTGGCCTTTTAGACTCATATTTTGATAAGTCAATTATTTATTCTGAAGCAGTGAACTGCACATACACTGGCTGTATTCCAATTTGGGTTAACCAAAGATTTTAAAATAATGGATCGGAATCTGTTCTGGTTTGTGAAAGTACATAAGAGTTTCAGTCTAGTTTTCAGTTGAGATTCTGTCAACTTCCTGCTGTTCTACAGTAGAGAATTGTATTTTGAGTTAAACATGACAATATTGAGTAGAGAGAACTTTCCTCTTAGGCAATCTGAATATATTTTAGCTCCTATGCTACATTTTTCTGCATGGTATGCTTTTATTTTTCACATTTCCTGTGCCTTTTTAATTTAGCATATGTGCTTTCTAGCTGTGCTTGCTCAGTGTGATTTGTTGCATCTAGTGTATTAATGATTGCCTGTAATTGTCATGTTAAAGGATCAGACTGCAAAGGACAAAGCACTCCAGCACATGGCAGCCATGTCATCAGCTCAAATAGTATCTGCAACAGCGATTCACAATAAGTTGGGCCTGCCAGGAATTCCCCGTCCTACGTTTCCTGGAGCACCTGGAGTAAGTTAATTGGCTGCAGTAAAAAGTACACTTCGGAACAATAATTGGCAGGAAGTCTAGATCAATTAATTTATGCATAAAATGTACTCTTTCTCCCATTATAAAATTGTTTGATTAAAAAAAAGAACTCTGAGCAAATGTGTCCTTAAAAGAACCAATTGAGCTTTTCATTTTTCTTTTTATTTCATCTAGTTTTGGCCAGGGATGATACAAACGGGGCAGCCTGGATCTTCACAAGAGTAAGTTTAGAAATTATACGTGTGCTCCTCAGTTTTCATACATAGGTGTGTACGTTAAGCAGTACACATTTCATATTCAAAATGATGTGTACTTTGCCAAAGGAATTCAGTGCCAGAAGGTACAACTGAAACCATACAGGTAGGGAGGGAAGAGTGATAGATTATGAGGCATTTTGTATAGCAAGCTTGTTTTCTGTAGTTTATGGTAAATCCTGAAATGTAGAAAAAGGTTGTGTTGCATTCCATGGTCTTCCATGATACCACATCATCTTATAACAGCAGCCATTGGATTATGAAATGGGGGAGGACATTTTGATTGAAGGATGCATTTGAATGTTTCGTAAATTAGTTGAGCTTTACATTGGATCAGGAGCAGATCTCAGGTGCAGCCACACTGGCCTCACTGGAACTTTTCCTCCTAGGGCTAAGGACTAAGGACTGGAACTTGATTGTGTCGGTGAGTGGATGGTTGGATAAATGGATGGATGGATGGGTAAAAGATAAATCTCCCACCCCTACAAAGTAGCTGTTATTTAAAAAGAAAAACCTGAACAGAACTAGGCATAATGAACTTTTATGTGCATTTATAACATCAGCTCTTATGTGATCCTAACAGAGCCTGTACATAAAATGAAAGTGGGATCTTTCTTGATTTTTTTATTATCAGATTTATTACTCAGGGAAAAGAGATGCATTGGATTCAAATAATTGTGGGAATATCTCAGTACAGGCATCACTCTCTCTCTCTCTCTCTCTCACACCTGTGAGAATATCTCAGTACAGGCATCACACACACACACACACACACACACACAGAGAGAGAGAGAGAGAGAGAGAGAGAGACTTTTTCTGTGTCTCAGCATGCTACTCAGGGAGCTGAAATGCAGGTCATAAATGTGGTAAGAGGAGATGAATGGATGCAAGCAATCCTGAAATCCACTCCCAGCCACATTATATGTCAAAAGGATGGCAGGGAGTCATGATCAAGCACCTCCAGAATCCAGAAAGGAAATTTCCCATCTCAGTTTTATGTGTGCTTTGATTTGACCTGTGACCAGCCTATCTTTAGTGCTGTATGCACAGTTGGAAGGAGTAATCTTCAGTGGCTTAGGCTGGATCACTGTCACAGCTTAAGGTTGCAATGCAAGAAAGGAGGTTTTCTGTTTCTTTAATGGTCTTCAATTGGAAACTGTGCTAGAACACTGAACAGATAAAGGCTGGCGACCTAGCAGTTTGCATGCATTTGTTTTTGGCGTTCTTTTGCCTTGAATACTACATGGCAATAGTATTCAAAACATTTTACACACATATACACACCCAGACAGACAGACAGACAGACAGACACACACAGACACACACACACACAGACACACACACACACACACACACACACACACACACACACACACACACACA